CTATCAACTTTTGAGCTCGCATCTTTATTCGTATCTAGTGACGATATGTATGTATGTGTAAAGAGACATGTACATATGGATAAGTCTGTACAGTAAAATTAATCGTTATACGCAGTTAATTTGTTTTTATTAATCTAGTTGTGTTTTAGTTTTACTAGATTATGTTAACTATGTTTTTAAAAAATTTGACATTGAAAACAAATTTTAAAACTCAAAAAAATGTTTGGTAGGTTTTGGTTGGTTATGGTAGGAAATTTTGGTAGAAAAAAAATTTGTCTGTGGCAACGCTGTCTGCGATGCTAAATTTACAGTTATGTAGCATGTACTCGCCGCATCGGCATCGCCGATTATTAACATGTTACCTTTTTATGTAATCGTGCAACTCTCTAGTAGGTACCTGGTACTCACACCTTTTTTAAGAAGTTTCACTTCTATCATGTGTGCATTTTTTTTTTGTTTGCTTAAAAGTTAAGGTACTTTATTTGTTCTTTATTTTTTCGCTGTGTATAAATGTTTCGCAGTTTTGTTTAAAAAGAATCGATTGACCTGTTTGACTGGTGTATGCTGTTGCACTGCGGAGGTCATAGCAGAGGTAATAAGTCCGTACGTTCCCTGTCCGAAGTCAAGGCAACTAATCCCCCACTTTAACGTGTCAGCGTGGCACTACATCCCCAGTAACGAATCTCTAGGTGTGGATGCCACACTTCCCTTGCCCCATGTGAAAACGCGCTGTAAGCCTCAATCCCTAGCAACCCTGGATTGCCAGTGGCGTAGCTTGAACAACTGCCTTAGCACAAAACAAATTTGTAATTCCCCTCAATCTGTATTAGCCCCTATCAAATACCACTAAATCAAACTCTGTAGTCTGAAGAAGGAACTTTGACAGGGAGTAAACAAAACCCCCATTTATCATAGCAACACAAACCGCTCTCGACGGATCGACGCGGTGTTATTGCTATGATTCCCTAACCCTGTCCAAGGAAAAAGGAAAGAAGAAGCTAAGACAAATGAGCAATGAAAGTCTAGAAATTAACATAGAGTAGCGGTAGGCCAAGTAAACGAAAAAGGAAAAAAAGGTAAAACGGAAGATTTCTAGTCCATAACGTTGGGCGCCATTGTTATGTAGCCGTAGGTTTGTGGCAAGGGCGAGTGGCAAGTCGGCATGCTTGCGGTCCCAGGCGTAGCTCATCGGTTGGGGTGGTTTATTTGTGTTCGCCCCGCCAGCGCCACACTAACAAAAAGAATGTTCTCATGCCGAATATGTGTAATAGAGTACGATAACAAAGAAGGAAGCTGAAATAACGAGAAACGAAAAGAAAAGTCCAGTCCCGTAAGGGGGAGTTCACCCACCCTCATCAGCGTTCAACTGACGCGAAGCCATGGGCGCTGTGCTGACTCCTCTGAACTTACAACGCCCCCTTAACCTGACGAAGTCCGTTGGTCAGTCAAACTGCCACCATAAGTCAATCTGTCCTATTGTCTGTCATTACCGCCGTGTCCCCTCTCGGCCGCAAACGCAACACCCACACCATCTATAAGAAATTAACGCCTCATTTTGTTACTATACACTTCACCCATAATTTTATTTAACAAAACAAACGAAATTGAATCCTTAAATACTAATCTTCATTCAAATTTAACTACCCCCCTAATATCTAAATATTCTTCCAACATACAGTAAGTAAACAAGGAAATCCAATTCAGGCGCAATATGTATATAAATTCGTATATATGTATAAATCAGCATACGAACATATACATGTATATAAGCGATATATGTACCTGAGTATACTAATAACTATCCTCAAAACGAAAGAACGTTTCCGAAGAAACAAAAAAAAAACGGTATGCAAAATAAAATCAATTTCTTTACAAAATTACAACGCGGCCAGCTGATGTAAAACGGTTCTCAATACCGCGATCTTTTATTTAATCCCTTATATCATTCATGTAAGATTTACCGAGATATCTCAAAACAATGTACATACGCAAGTACAACACCGTAAACCCAAAATCTAGGTAGGTATATGTATGTAAGAAAACAAAGAATACAACTTTACTCACTCACCTGTCCACTCCCTCGATACCAACATTTCGGAGAAGAGCCTGTGTGGGAGAGAGGAATTCATACATACATACATATGTTCACGTGCCTGCCGTAGTAGTACTATGATTCTAGTCCTACGCCGGCCTATCAGTCGCTCATGATCGCGGGAACAGAACGAAAGTGGTTAAAACGCGGGATCAATTTATAATAGTGCAACATAAAACATATATGTATACATATATATGTATATAGATGAATATGTATATAGATATAGATATATATATATATATATATATATATATATATATATATATATATATACATATATACAAATGAATAGAAAAAAAAACAAAGTGAATATAAAATGACGTGGAATAATTCCTTTCTATTATACTTGGTTTCACGAAAAAATAACTCCAAATTGTTACGCTTACAACAGTCGGGCAAAATAAAAAAAAAAAAATTAATAAACTCGTTGGCACAATATTTAATGATGGATTCTTGATGCTCCTGTTTAAACAGAAACGCTTTCAAATCTTTGAGTTTATTGCACGCGCCAACAAAATTGGTAGCGTTGTCGCAAAGGATATCGGAGGGTAAGCCCCGTCGTCCGATCATGCGTTTCAGTGACGCTAGAAAGGCATCCGTGGAGAGGTCTGAGACGACCTCAATGTGTACCGCCTTTGATGCCAAACACACGAAAATGGCTATGTAAGCCTTATGGGGCGCCTTTCCTCTGATGCGGAGATATATATTGACAGGACCGCAAAAATCGACGCCGCAGCGTGCGAATGGCCGAGACGGTGTCAAACGCTCAACCGGCAGGTTTCCCATTAGTTGTTGTAGCAACTTTGGTCTATACCTGACGCAGTGGATGCAGTTTTTGACGACGCGTCTAGATACTTCACGCGCGTTCACTATCCAAAATTTAAGACGAATTAAACCTATTAACGCCTTAGGTCCTGCG